AACGAACTTTATGCGTGTGTTTGTGTGTATGTATGAACATACATAAGGGTGGTCCAAAAATACACAGGAAAATAAATTTTTTTTGGAATTTCCATGCTGTCACCCGCAGAATTATGGAAAATCAAAAAAGAAAGTCGTATTTTTTTTATTCTCAAATTGGTTAATACATATCGTCACCTGAAATTTAAAAAGACGTAACAAACATCGCCTATGGAAAGCAAAAAGTCGTAACTTATAAACAATTCTAAATTCATTTTTGATTGATATGATGGATTTTATCGAATTAAAACTCCTCACGTTTTATGAAAAGAAATTGTTAGTCATGACTTTTTTCATTTCAGTCTTTCTGCATTTCAGGTGACGATGTGTAGTTTATATGAATAAAATACATTTTTTCGTGAAATAACAATATTTTTCTTCAGAAATCTTCAAAACTTAAAACTTTGATGCCTAACTAACTTTAAAATTGTACTTACTATTTTGTCATAACCGATAATCTTATATTTTATATATAAAAATTTGGTGTTTTATGTGTTCGTTACCGCATCACGCTCGAACAACTCAACGGATTTGTTTAACCTTTTTTTTAACCCCACTGGATGAAAATTGATTAATTATTTAAAAGAATATTTAATTGTCTACATTAAAACTAAAAACGCTTGAGAGATTTAAAAAAAAAATGGTTTAGAACGGTGTTGTCAGGATAGGTGTGGACTAAAAAGTATTATCAAACACCTTTCAATAGGCACATCCATATTGCATCGTTTTACTTAACTTTATGTAAGTTAATTAGTTTATAGATGAGTGGCAACCTTACTTGAAGACATGTTAGTCCAAAGCTACCGTTTGCTACACACATTCTGGTATTAAATAAGCTTAAATATTTTAATAAACGTTGTTTAAGATTTGGAAAGTCGGCAACAATTTTCGAGGGGTGAGTGGAAAAACAATTTGGGAACAGACTAATGCGTAGCTATACAATGAAATACATACTTATACATAGTAAATATGTATGCGAAATGAGTCATTGCTCATGAAAAGCACACAATTTCTTCAAGGATATATGCATTCATTTTAATCGTTAAATTTTCAATGAAAAAAGTTATTTAATTCTAAGTGCGCACCTATGTACATTACCTTACCTTATATATATGTATGTAGGTAATAAAGTTGGTGCTTTTAAATGCATTCTTTACTATCTGTTCAACAAAATCAATTTTATGCATTTAATTAGTAATCTATCAAAGTTTTGAACGCCACGTATGAACAGGTGGGTAATTAAACACACCCATTTGCTGCTTGTTTGTATATACTTTCATTAACGTTTTAACATTTTGTTAGCATGCTAGCGACAGTATTGTCCTTTTAGCTATTAAACTAGCTATTAGAGGATAATAAAAAGAGGAATTAATTTTCACATAGCAAGTTCAGGTGCAACATAAATTCTAAAGGAATTATCTAGTT